AAATCCAGTTTAATTGGTCGCTCTCTCTACGAAATTCATAAAATATTGATTCCCATACCGAAACGGGTGTTGCACACCCAACTTAGTCTTTGTGTATCAATTTTTCCACATTCACTCAACCCGCTTATCGCCCGATAAATTTCTAAATCTCAGTGTAAAAAAGAGATAGCTCCCAACTTAAAGGATCGCCTGAGACATTGTGTCTAGTAATTAGATGCTGAAAGAGGTGGTAACTGAACCAGTCTTAAACCATCCCTCACTTTTTCATGGCGAGAGCAGAAGAGCTATTGTTGTTATACTACATCACAAGTGGTCATTTCGCAGCCTGACGCCGTTGAGAGGAACTGACATTCGTACTTATGTTGATTGCATCTTCAAGTTGCATCAGTTGTCCCGGTTACGACTGAAGATCAACGATCGCAAAGTTCCTTGACATGATTGATGGGTGGGCTTTCTTCGGTCTCCTTCTGTACAAGGAATCGAACCACAAATACGTCGATCGAATGAGGTTACTGTACGCGCATATTTCAGATCGAGTAAGAGCCGGCGGTAAGCCGAGCAGCACGTTCGAAAAGTGGTGTTCGCCACCTTCGAAAGACGAATTGATGGTGCAAGACTAGGTATCGACTTCCTGTGCTTCGAAATTAAATGGTCAGGATTTGGCTGTAGAAGATTGCATTCACCTAGGGAGTTGCCTCAAAGACGACTGTAGCACAGATCCCATGCTCGAGCGGAGTACGCTGAACTAAAACACCTTTGATATAGACAAGAAGTTTCATCGAAATTTTTAAGTTGCCAATATCATGGCACTGCGCGATCAGTTCTGCTTTACGGCTGCGAGAATTTGAGTTCGCAGGCAGAAAACATCCATCCACTAAAGGTGTTCGCCCACTGGTATTTAAGTAGTTTGACACTAGTGGAGTGGTACGAACGCGCTAGTTTCACTGAGGCAACTCGCTGTGTTTGGAGGGATTTTTCAGAAAAAGATTTGTTGTCTCACGAAATTCGAATGCATGAGCTCCGCTGGTCAGGACACGTATTGCGCATGCTTGATAGGTGTCTAAGGCACCGCTCTTTATTTGCAGTTATCGCTTCAAGTTGGAGAAAACCAAAGGGAGGTCGACAAATGAAGTGAAGACTATGTATGAAGAAATGCACAAAGGTAGATTAAGTGCCCTTCATGTTTCACGATCTGGTCAAAGGGACTCGGTGGCTGGTCAGTTGGAGAAATGGCAGCGAAGTGACAGTAGTGGCGCTCTTTTTTGTCAACCAGAACACTTGAAGAAATGTATGCACAATTAGACTGTGTGCCTCATATGGTGACCACAGGAGTTCATTTTTATTTCCCTTCCATCAAAATAGATCCACTTTCTGTTCACCTTACACATTGGTGCATACTTATGTGTATTGTGAGGTTGGCGGCGACGAGTGAAGTTCGCTGCACAGTGATATTAAGGATGGTTGAAAAGACATACATACATGCTTAAATAATTAAATACAACACAAAATAGAATAGAATATCATGAATTATAATACCTTATTACGTTGTGTAGCACTCATTGCTCGAGAAACAGTCATTTTACATCCACGGACGTCACGAATTTGAAGCATCACTTTGGCCTTGACTTCCACTTCACCCGCCACCTGTAACAACCAGAAACACATATGAGATACATGCATAAGTTGTTGAGTATGCAATTTATAAACAAGAGAAACCATACCATGGATATTTTTTTACATTTAAAATGTGTCCAGGTATGGTACAACAAAGAAGAGATGATCTCACAATCACAACGGTAAACGATAGCTGTAAGGCGCAATAGCCAAAAAGAGATTTTTGACTGAGACCTGGGTGACATTTCGGATAGAGTCCTCCTCAAAGTCAAAATGTAATGGATACAGAATTTGTTCGGAGAATGAGCATTGTGAGGATGACCCAGGTTCAAGCAATTGATGGTAGACGGCTTCACTATCATTCGACCCAATACGGGATCTATCTTACTGAGTCCTAACTTAGTTTACCATTTCCAGTGTCACGGCCTAACTTTCCGATTCTCATGGTGGGACAATTGGTTCACGTGGTCGGGATAGTACTTTATTGGCTGTGAACTGTCCAGTTTGGGCGGGCGGTGGCTGTCCAATGAAGTGCGAAGACTTCTCCCACCGTTGAGAGGAAGCCACAGGTACCCCGCTCCTACATCCAACTAGCGGGGGGGGGTGACCAGTAAACTGCCCTTCACTGTGTTTATTTGTTGGAGTAACCTCTCTAAGGGTGGGTGTGGATAGACGAAAGAAGCCAGGAGGTGCCCAAGCAGCTGGCTTTGTGAGGCTGAGCTTTGTCTGGCCTCTACTCGTTAACCTTTCAGGTATGACTGGATCTACGGCTGTGAAATGCCATCCTGCGTAGCTCGCAGTCATGGAAACAAGCAAGATCTCATCCCACGTCAAGGTGTAGCCGTCGTGTAGATGCTAACATCCTTCGGGTGCTACCTGGCCTGATATGGCTGTAATAATATCGTGTTTTCAGTGATACAAATAGCACGAAGCACATAAAAAGACAGTTATGACCCTTCATCTCTCAAAACTGCCCCGGCACATGAATGTATTTGAAAATCTCCAACAATCGAATCGCTATCCCACGCTATTCTGGAAGGTCTTGCTGCCAGTTATTTCCAGGAGTGGCTTGAATATTTCAAACCTTTTGCATGAATGCGTAAATACCATACATGGATGTACACATGGGCGGACTAGGTTGTTTGACTGTCCGACAAAGACTATGAATGAAGCAGAAATGCAAGAAATTTGTTTCAATCATAGGATATGCGCAAAACAGGTGTGATGCACATTCACAACCCGAGATTTTTTCAGTTATTAATAGGGCAATAACAATAATAAATGCTCATACGGTGTCGTTAATATACAAGATTTGGATTGCGTGTGACAACACGAAAAACTCAAACGAATGCGAGAAGAGTAATTACGATTAAAAAATTGAGAAAATATCACACTAGCTTGTAAGTTTCTTATTACAGGTGGTGGTGGCGAAGTGGTTTAGTCGCTGTCACTGGCGTGCTTTTGACCCAGTGGTCCGAAGTTCGAGCCCCGCCACCGCCACCCGACGTTGGTGGTAGGTAGCTCTGCTGTCGTCCGGTTCAATACACCACACCCAACCTATCGGGGCCTTACGTGGTTCACCACTCCAAGTACCGAGGCTTAGGTTACCGGTTTCCATCAGTGAACAGCAGGATCTCGTGAGTATGGGGTTTACCCCGTTTGCTGTTCGTTACACGAAAGTGCGTAATAAATAATTAAAAAAATGTAAACACAACTTGCAGGATCAATTCAAACTATTGCAGACACACTTACGCGAGGATCATGAATGAAAGAACATCCAACTTTGGATCCGGGAGGAAGGTCTCCTGTAGTGGCATACTTCAAGCACTCGATGATAGTCTGTAGAACACAAATGTCAAGGGGGTTGTCATAGTGCTTTTCATAGAAAAGAAAGCAAAGAGATAGAAAGATACCTACCGTTTTTCCCGTTCCATTGGTCCCCAAAATTAATGTAACTGGAGTGAAAAAATCGATTTTTTGCGGGTTTTCCGGGCCAAAACTTCGGATACCAACTATTTTCATACTCTCGATCAACGCCATTTGAGAGAATCTGAAAAACGAAGTTGGTACGCATTCACTTATGTGCTCCACAGTTTATTATCTCATTTTTCACAAATTCGAATAACTGCAACAGGTCTGTGTGCCACAAGAGACAACGAAAAGGACTGAAACATGAGAATGTGATAGAAACGCAGGGAGTACAGCGTGGCTAAATAGTTGAGCAAAGAATGGGAGTCTCTGTAGCCATCGGCCTACCGACAAAAAGGTGAAGGAACAGAGTATGGTATGTATTACGTGAAATTCAGTAAACTTTATGTAAATGTGCGAACAGTATGCGTACCAGAAACGTCATTAGGAGACCGCACCTTGGCGTCGTATGGTGGCATGAGGATTTCTATGAACCAGCGAGCTACTAGGGAGGACGAATGTCAAGCCGAAAAATCGAGGAATAGAGACCACACGGAATCTAGCCTCCTTGTCCCACGGATTAGGAGTTCGACTAGGAATGGCATGTCACTCGACAAAGAAGATTGGAAGAGTAACTGAGCCACTTTGCCTTTCCCGCAACTTTGCTGTTAGGTTCATAAGAACTAGCTGAGAACCATAATTGTTCGCATCATCATCATCATCATCATTGTATAGCATAATACAGTGAAGCGAACTTCACTGATCGCTGTTTGCATGCTAAGTGGTTGGACCCGCTGGAGGTACACGGCCAATAATCTCCCGTGAACATACAAACTAAAACCAATTCAAAACCGCACCGTTCTTCGCGAAGGTTAATTCGGACCGCGTCATCCATTGCGTTGAGTCTGACGGGTTCCGATAAGTGAGCTATCATTAGAACATCTCAAGTTTTATTTTATTCTTTATATCCTAAGTCTAATCTTCCTTCTTTACCCCTCATAATAACTCGTGATATTACGTGAGACGAGTTGGTTGTTGCCCGCGAAATCTCGCTGCCGAATAGCATTGCACCTAATGAAACACAATAAATGTCGAACTATAAGGCACCGTAAACCTACGAATCTTGAAGCAATTCACTCGGTCCGCCTAGCAAACAAGTAACGATGATCGGATCATTCATCTTCGCATAGACCACTGTTTTTCTGTCCGGTAACAACTTCCGACGCCAATATCGACGAAATGGGCGCTGGTGGTAACGTCAAGAAAAATTATCACCCCGGCGATGTGTTCCAATCTCATCACAACCGCTTGGTTTTCCCCATTGAGTGTTGAATGGCAGCCTTTTGACTGACCTCTTCCCACATCCTGAAAATGGTATCTTTTTATACTTATTAAGAGAAAGTAAACTAAAAAGGTAAAAAAAAAGATGCGGAGCTCTAATTCAATGGACAACCTGACCATACTGGCCACCCTGCACGAAGATAAAGTTGGCTCAGATCAGAAGGAAATTTCTGATCTTAATTGACCACCAGATGTGAGCTTGATCATGCACTCGGGAGAGCAGGAATACCGAGCGCGTCCCCAGGTCACGCATAAAGGAACGGCCATCAACTCACGGCTAACCGTGAATAAGGTGGGCTCCGGCCTACCGAGTAAGCGGTCGCGGACGAGCAGC